TTATATATATATATATATATGGATATCGGCTTATATTGAGGAATCGGAGAGCCGAGTTCGAATTCAGTCGAATCCATTATATTCACTTACGTGCTAATACCCTTGGGAAAGGTGTGAATCCTCTACTTCTCCCTCCAGCTATGGGTAAATAGAATGACAGACTAGGTTCTATAGCCTTGGATGGCAACTGGTCTAGGAAAAGAACAATTCTGAATTCAAAACCTTCGGAGGGTCGTTTGGGGACCTTGTGGCACTTAGTGCACCAGGTCTCTGTATTCGGCCCTTCAAAAAGTGTGGATGGTCCTGCACGAAACCTTCACCACTATAATCAATACTCAAGTGCTGTTGTCGGGCTGTCGGTTTCCTTGAAACTGATCTGCTTGACCCTCAACGGGGGAGGATATATATATATATGCGAAATGTATCAGCAAAATTGTCCAAGTCGTGTAACAGCAAAATTGTCCAAGTGTTAGTTTAAGCTTTCAACCGTTGTAATTTAGATATGATTAAAGACATTTAATTGGAATACTCCGAGTTTTATAAAATTATTGGGCTCTACTTTGAACAATAAGAATGTATTTAGCTCTAAGTTGAAAATAGAGATCCCTCTTGTTGCTGGGACCTCCTGATCCATTTTTCTTTTCTGTTGTTTGCTCTTTTTTTAAACTTATTCACCGTTCTCTTGGTTCTTGAATGGACTTTGAAGCTGGAAGCCAGTGTATGAATGTTGGTATCATTACTGAAGGCCTGAATGATCTTTTTCCTCTCACCATTGCTCAGTTGGGAAGACATAGTGGCCCTGACACGAAACGATTTTAACCTGTTCTCTTTCTAGCTGAATATCTCAAAGAGAAACCTGGAAAAAAGAAACTCAATTAGTTTAGTGTTTTTTTTTTTAGATATTAAACATTTTGCGGGATTGATAATTATCGCAGGCTGTTACACGATTTGAACAATTTTGCTGTTACACTCGGTATAGAAGTTCTCTTTTTGCTTCTGTTGTAAACCAACAAAACTTTGACAATGAAAACGTTCGTTTTGGAAAAAAAAATGTATCGTGTAAAAGATCGTGTTTGAAATAAAATATACAACTGCACAATTGATATTTTGATTGCAGGATAATGACGTTAGAGGCTGACGGATGCCTTCGTCGACTCTTATCACATTAGAAGTCAGCAGACATTGAACAGTCGCTTCTCTCGACAACGTTCATTCTTCAAAGCCCATAATACAAGAGACGGTTAGAAGCAATAATGGTACAAGCCCGGGTGAAGACGTGACCAGCATTTATATTGATCTTAACTACCTGATGGAATCAGGAAGACATTTATTGATATAATTGGTGACACGAAGCAACGTTCGATTTTATAAACGTCTCGAAGGAACAGACTTTTATTTATTGATTCAAAACTACCTACAAAATGGTTCTCGCTTTGTTTTTATGAGATTCAAGTTTCAAACTTAATATTAGGTTTTAACATGTACTGAACCTGTTTGTCGTTCATAGTTAATAGTACAGATACGGTAGAGGGTGGTCAAGAGTTGGCGAGAATACCCCCTTTTCTGTATTAGCGGGATTGCTGGAAAGTTCTCAGGACGACCCACTTCTTAAAATCTGATCAAATGAACAACATCAGAACCTTTGGCACGAAAGGTTTCATGTTCAGGTCAATAAATTTTCAGCATCATCGTATACTGCTGTAAACACACACACACACACACACACACGCACGCACACACACATGAAATCTCTTTCTCCCCTCCTCTCTCTCTCTCTAACGCACACACAGGCACAAACACGCATACAAACACACATACAAACACACACAGACACACAGTCACACACACACACGCAAATATATATATATATATATATATATAAATTAATCCTCCCAAACTCTACCATATCTCTTTAACTACTCCTTTTACACTCTCTGTTAAATTACAAAAACTTACACTAACCATCAATTTTAATTTCATTTTTCGTTTCATTTCATTTTGGAAAGTGCTATCTGATGATCCGGTGTCCTTTAAAAGGACTCTGGTGAAATAAATTATTATAATGGAACCTTAAAGGAGTCTGTTTTTCTTTTAAATATTAGCTCTGGATTTACATTGAGCTCTCAAGATTTCATCTTCCTTGGGATTACCCATACGGTTTACCAAGTTTTTCATAACTTAAATATATATATATATATATATATATATATATATATATATAATAATGACCACTCGTATTCGAGGATACCCACATACTAAGGCGGCTAGCAATCCCTACTGCAAATGTATGCCTACGTTACATGTATTTCTGTCGTGTGAATTGTGATTCTTATCTTCCATATATCGCCCGTGTTATGCTATACGGTGTATAAATCGTTATGTTACAGATCTATGTATATATCTTCATTTTACATGGTATTATCATTGTTATCTATATTGCGCATAGATTCCTGTGTTTCCTATGTCATCTACGGTACATATTTTATTTTTGTTGTGCATAGATTTATATGTTCTTTATGCCATCTACGTTACATACGTTATGCATAGATTGGTGTTGTTTCGATGGCATATACATGACATTCACTTACGCACAAATACTCTTGGAAAAGGTATGAGTCTCCCCCTTATGGATTAAATAGTAAGATTTGTGGCTGGGAAAGTGATTTATTCTCAGAAAATCGTAATGTAATATTCACTGGCAACAAAAAAGTATCGTTCGTACAGTCTAAAATAACGTTCGGCTTTAAATAACTTGCAAAGAGTAGATAAACTGTAAAAAATAATTCAATCAATCAATTCATATGTTAGCAACGTAACGCATACATTACCTTGTTACTTATATCATCTACGGTACCTATATTATCTGCTGTATTAAAAAAAATCCCTATGTTATCTATGCTACACATGTTATCTACGTTACTATGTTATAACTGTTTTGCATAGATCTTTTATATCTTTGCCCATGTTATGTACGTTAGTGTGTATAGGTTGTTATTTTTGTTGTCCATGTTTTCTACATTACTGTGCTATTTATGTCGTTCGTAAATCCCTACGTTATCTACGTTACTCATGTATGCTCTTGCGTTATATATGCTATGCAAAGATCACTATTATAGCTTTGATTTCAATCTTATCTACGTTACTATTTTATTTAGCTCCTGAATAGAGACATACGTTAAATATGTAAATGTAATTTACATTATTTTATCTATTATAAATATCTATCCTTATTTTATCTTTTTTGTCAATGGTATCAATGTGAACTGTGTACGCTTCGTAGATATCTGTGTGATCTTTGTTACGCATGTTATCTATGTTACGCATAGATCTTTATGTTATCTATGCTACCCATGTTATCTACCTTCGTGCTTTGATTCCTATGTTACCTATGACATCTATATTACTTATTTCTATTGTTTTTTTATTGATTGCCTCTGTTCTGTTACCTGTGTTATATTTATTACCTATGTATGCTACCTGTTATATATCCTCGTCTTCGTATTGATGGTAAACCCCGGGTGTGATAGGCTCCCCAAGCTGGTTTTCAATTCAATTTTTTTCAAAGGAGAAGGAAGAAAAGATGGTTTTATACCTTCACCAATTAGCATGTAAGTGAATATAATAAGCTCGGTTGAAATTCGAACTCGGCTCTCCAGTTCCTCAATCCTGGGCCGAGATCCATTACTCCACAGTGCTCCCTTATATAATAGTATTAGCAAAACGATTCTGATGAATTCTTACTCCTTTCTTTATTACTATTTTCTGACCGTCCGACAAAGAATTCATATATGTGTTGACGAAATACTGCCAACATTTAAAGGTTTATTGTTGTGATAGGATCCACCTAATTTGCATAATGGAGTACCGACCATATAAATATGGTTGGTACCGGGAAGAGAGGGAGGAATCAAGAGATTCAACCAGAGACTCTGCCCGACTGCGACTCAGTCAACACATTCTCCAGGAACGGTCTTCCCAAGAATATACAAAAGACTATATGTAAATATTGTGTACACTTTCTTGTTTCAATACATTTTGTTCTAAGTACATTTTGTGTTGCATTATTATTCCATGCATTAGTCATGTTTCAACATTTATAATAGCAGTTTTTCTCGACAAATATTATCTTGCCTTTTCCATAATGCTTAAGTAATCAAAAGCGCTCGATCCAAAAGCTGTTGTTGCTTTCTAACACGTGCAAACGAATGACAATCATAAATTGTAAGATCAATCATAAAGTCAGAATCTGTTGTGACTCAAGATGTTTCATTTCTTGAATTTGTCTGAGTCTCCATAATTTAGACGTGTAATTGCATCGTCAATCAAATGAACCAAGGGCTTATAAATAATGATATAAAATTGATCAGCAAAATATCGATTTTCAAAATCAATATAATATAGTCTCTCTTATAAAATTCTATGACTGTTGAACATGTACCTTCTTCCTTGCATTTTCTTTAATAACCACTTTCCAAAGGGAATCGATCAGAACTCTTTTATCAATATAAAATACTAATTAATAAAAATAAATCAATTAAAAAACTTATGAGATTCTTAATTTTTTTTAATCATTTGACCCCCAAGCAAGGCAATAAAGACGCAAGGGGTTTCTGGGTGTTAAAGAATACGAGGAAAATGATATTATGGAGGGAGAACAATAAACGGACGAGAATTAAGAAGACAGAAGAAATCAATTGACATTGCATTAAAATTTATTTTTAACAGTGATGTTCACCCTTTACAAGGCCCGGGAGCAACTCGAGGTGGAAGGTTACGTTAGGAGATCATTTGTGTGTTTATAGGTGAGTGAGATAACGATTAACCATAGCCTTGAATATGTTAAGATTTGTAGTGATTGGACAAACAACATGCTGGAAGTTGATTCCACAGGCCAGTGGTACGCGGGAAGAATCTCCTCTAGTGGAACTTACTTCTCACCGATGGAATACGGAGCGAATGCGGGTGGTTTGCTACTACATAAGTGGCATGGCGCGTTCTTGTCATGAAGGTTTGCCTTGGCGGGGCCAGGGAATGTAGTTCACCCGACTACTTTCCGTGGAAAGTAGTGGTCGAGTAGCGAGAGGCTTGCCACACGCGTGCTTGTGGGAGACAGGTTGACGGGTGTAGAAGAATTCGTCACGCCTGAGAGCATGGAGACGCTTTTGAACTATATCAAGGTTAGAGAGAGATCTTGGCAGCTCCTGCCAAAATATGAGAACAGTATTCTATTTTGGGCCTTATCTGGCTTTTGCAAAGTTAGTGTTATAGAGTAGTTCCACGGTGGAGGCTTGTATTTCACTAAGTCGGTCCTAAAAAGGTTCGACGTACAAAACGTTATTAACTTGATATAATAGTTAATGACGCAGCAATCTAGTTGTGGTGGTTGATACTTTAATGTCCGACATCGACTGACTGACCAACTCACCGAGTGACTGAATCGTTACTATTACTACTACTACTTATTATAGGTGGGAGAGTCTATTAACTATAGAATAGGTGTGTTCCAGTATAACAATTAGTGAATAGCAGGGGGAGCCAGATACTGACGGGAGCGGTACAGGGCGCCGACTATTTTAACTGCATCATTAGCAATATGTGGATTTTCCAGAATAATCATTTTTCTTTGTTATAATTTTGACTTCCGTCTTTTTTTTATATCGGATAAGATCGATTCTGTGGGTTTAGTCAATAGAAAAAAAATCTACCATTTTACCCATTCCAGGTTTTTGCTCGAGCCCCTGGGGTGCCTGGGAGAATGGATAAACTTCTTTTCGCCAAAGGAAATGCATAACATTCAAAAGATGACTTACACAATAATAATTCACCGTTGTATACACTGTAAACGCCGCTGTTGTTTGTGTTATCTAAGAACTGGCCATTTTGTCTACTGAAATAAATGATTTATTTTCGCATATAGAGACGTTCTTATTTTAGATTCTTCGGCTATTATCGAATTACAATAATAAACTTAAAAAAGAATCAGGAAGGAAATACATCCAGTGAAAAGACATCAATAAATGAAAGGTAATTCAACTTTTCCTTTGCGTAGTGGTTTCTGTTTGACTGTCCGGCTATACCTATATTTATATCTATACCCATCTATCTATATACAGTTATTAGATATTTTTGAGTCCTTTTGCTAAATATATCTATTAAAATCAATTGTCACTGTTATTTTCATTTTTGCGTAATACAGACGACAATTTATTCATTTCACACTATAAATATGTGGGTGCGCGCCCGTGTTTGTATGTGTGTCTTGAATAATAAAAAATGTTAAAAAGTTAAGTCTTGAACGATAAAAAATTAAAATGGGTTGCATATTAATATTTTTTGTTTGATTATTTAAATTAATAATGCCCAGCATCAGGAGAAAAAAAAGCTTTACTTCTTAGTAGCAGTGAACTACAGGAGTGAATAACTGAGTTTAAAGAAAGTGAAAACTGTAGTTTTCATTTGCTTTTTTTTAACGTTAATTTTGGTCAGTTCTTGTATTGGTTAAACGATTCCTTTCAAGGCTTTTTTTTTTCTTTTTTAGTAGAGGCTGGGAGATTCATGAGTCTCAGAATTCCATCCTTAGTCATTTTGACAGAATTATTGGTTCCTGGGAAGGAGATGTGTGTATTAAGTGTGTTATCTTTCAGGTTTTTGAGTGTGTTTGATGTGTGTATGTGCACATATATGCGTGAGTGTGTGTATGCGGGAGGCCTCAAAACCTCCTCAAGCATGTCTGAGTTGGAAAAATGTGGGTGGGGTTTGATCTCTAGGATAATATATTAATTCTAGTGTTGTATATATATATATATATATATATATATATATGTGTGTGTGTGTGTGTGTGTGTGTGTTAAAAAGAAGAGAGAAACCGAAAACGTTTTTGGTTGTAATGTGGATTTTTAAAAAATATTATGCTTTATTTTCCATGATTTTGCTACACGAGTTTCCAGTTTCGCGACCTACATCAGGCAAAGCGTAGAGATTTTCACATATTATATATATATATATATATATATATATATATATAAACTTCTGGATCATGAGGTGGCTTATGAGGTGACGCAAGAGCCACTCATGTAAGAGGGGTACTGAATGAGTTTGCTGTAGGAAATATAATGGGCGATTCGACTTGAACTTCCAACAGCAGTAATAGCTAAAATGGATAGCACATGCAAGTTTAAGAGAAAACAAAGATATAATCAAGATATTGACATTTCACACTAATTAAATAAAAGATTTGGAAGAACCCCTGTCCGAAATCAATACTGAAAAGAGCTATAACAGATACTGGTCAGTACTTAGATGAGTGACTGGCGGGAATCAGGTGCTGTAAGAATGGATGTGCGGGTGGATGGTTCGAAATTCTTAATCGGGTAGCGAAATTCCAATTCGCATTTGTTTCGTTATATTCACTTAACCAAATAACCTTGGGAAAGGTATGAATCCACCTCTTCTTCTCTTCCCCCCAGCTATGGATTAATTAGTAAGTCTTGTATCACTAAACTATTATTATCTCAAAATAAAAAGTAATATGTATCTTAACTCGTCCAAATTTTTTCGATGTATCATTGTCATTAGTATTACATTTTTTTACACGTCTTCCTTTCATTTTATTTCTATTGACTACTAAATAGTACTAAAAGGCTAAAAGTAAGAACTAGACGAGATATTCCGAGACATGGGCAGTGGAACGTGAACAGTCTACCGGGTACATTAAATAAAAGGTTTCACTTCTGAATTATCTGTCAGTTATTCGGCCAAAATGTTGTGATAGCAACAACAAAGATGAGGATAATAGTCGCAATGTACATAGCGTAAATAGAATATTTCTCTACACAATTAACTCTATTGTCCAATGTAACAAAAATTATTTTTTAATCGTGTAAAGTAAAAATGTCCAGGGAAAGTTAACCTGAAACACCAGACATGAAAAAATAAAACAATGTATAAGCAACTTAACTAACACAACATTTTATCTAACAAGTTAATATTTAATTAGTAATGAGGTATCTAATTATTATGGTAACATGAGTCATGTCTGCTTCTTAGTTTCAGGTAATGTTTCCTATTAAGATAACAAGAGCATAATTTACGTATTACGTTGCGAGTATCATGCATTATAGTTGAATGCGATTTCACAATGCGTTTTGCATCATTGAATAGATTGATTGACTTCCACGAAGATATATGAGATGCTACACACACACACACACACATATATATATATATATATATATATATATATATATATATATATATATGTGTGTGTGTGTGTGTGCGCGTGTGTGCGTAGGCTTTTTTGTGAAAGCATATGCATGTTTGCCATGTTCACTTAACGTGTTAGTTAATTTCTATTATCTGTTTTTAGTTTGTAATTATTTTTTATGAAGTGGCCATTATGTTTACTTTCAAAGAAAACACGTGAAAACATTATTCCATTAAATGCCATTGAATTTTTGACGGTATTAGAAAAGAAAGCTTTTAAGAGCGGTAAAAATTCTCCCTTTTTTAAAGTGGTTTTAATTACCATCAATCCCATGTTAGTAAAGCTGGGTTATTTTTCCCCTTTGATAAAACATGCATACTATTATTTCTCTCTCTCTCTCTCTCTCTCTCTCTCTCTCTCTCTCTCTTTTAAGGATATGCACGATCATTGTTCTCTACAGCTTCCTTTCTTTCATTCTTTTTCTGCAGGACGTGGCTGATCAGGGCTCTCCACAGCTTCCTTTCTTTAGTTCCTTTTAGCAGTATTTGTTCCTTTATTTACGTTATGTCGTTGTGGTACTTCGTCCCTGTACCTCTCTCGGTTTTTTTTTCTCTGCTTGTTCAGGATGAGAACTCAAAAGCACTCCACAGCGTCCTTTCTTTCGTTCCTTTCTGTAATATTTGCTCCTTTATTTAAGTTCTTGTCTTTGTAGTACTTCTTCCTTCATCTCTTTCTCTCTCTCTCTCTTTCTCTCTTTCTATCTTTCTCTGTTTCTACAGGACGTGCCTGATTAGGACTCTCCACAGCTTCCTTTATTTTGTTTCTTTTAGCTGTATTTACTCATTTATTTGCGTTCTTTTATTTGTGGTACTTCTTCATCATCTCTCTCGCTTTTCTCTGTGCAGAACGCGTACGATCACTACTCTCCACAGCTTCATTTCATTCATTCTATCTGCAGTATTTTCTCATTTATTTACTTCTTCGCCCACCCATTTGCTCAAACTTGTCATGTCGCTTACTAGATTATTTCCTCTGTTTGCTTTTGTTTTTTTGTTTTTTTTGGGGTGGGGGTGCGTATACGATACGTCCTGGGAGTGTTAAATTCGCCAAGTCTTCTTTCTTTACTATGTGTCTCCATAATTCCGTTTCTTTCTGAGTGGAAGTAATAGTCTCATTGTGTTGTGAGAGAGAATATTTTCCTACAAGTTTGGACTCGGACGTCGAAAGAAAGACGCTAAAATATTCCTACATCAAGAGGAGTAGCAGGAGGAGCAGTAGCTTTTGATTCACGGCTAAACATTGTCTTCCCTATAAACTTGTTGTTAAACCAATTCCGGTTTTCTACTGTTGTTTTGGATAACGACACATTGTAATTCCTGTTCTCTTTCTGTTTATGATATTTTTAATTTTCGTCAGTTTTTTTTCGTTTTGCTTTTCATTTATAATAAAATTCCCCTGTCATATGTAAGAGAGAAGTTAATATGCATCAATTCAGCATGTCTATTCCTTTCTTTCAGAATTTATTATTTTCCTATATGTCTTTTGATTTCTGTGTCATAATTTCCGTCATCTTTTACTATACCACTCAGATCGTTGAATTTCTGTGCATAGTTGACCTTTGACATCCCCAATGTGTAAATCACGCCTCAGGTGTCCCTTTTTACTTACAACCATAATTTCATCTTGTTGATGTTTAGTCATTTCCCGATTTCAACTAAACTTCTCCACTGTTTTAAGTTTTTCTTTCTTAATCTGTTATAACAAATAATTTTATCTAATCCTCCGATAATCATCTCGCTGTCACTTGAAAGTATTTTCTTAATCCGTGAGGAAATTGACTAGCATTCACTGCCATATTGGGGATTTACACATTCACTCTTTGGTTTGTTTGTTGGGACATCCTTGCTCAGTTTCAGGAAGGCTTCTTTCGATATGCACTATCGGCTGCTACATTACTACTGTTCTAGTGGAACACACCTATTCTATAGTTAATAGACTCTCCCACCTATAATAAGTAGGAGTAGTAAGAGTAACAAGTCAGTCGCTGGGTAGCTCAGTGAGTCGACTGGCTGATCGGTTGAACTCTCTGCCTTCGGGTGGGGAGGAACCCGAAAGAGGCTACGCCGAAGGGCGGATTCTCTTTCGGGGAGATAAACTGACCCTGAACCCGTTTATACGGGTTCAATGGGCATATTTTTGGTCGGGCCCACGGGCTCGGAGATCCCACATTAAACCTGTCTTGTGCCACATGATGCCCTCGTGGGGGGGGGGTGACTAAATATAGTCGCTGGGTTTCTCAGTGGTTCGGTCAGTCAGTCGATGCCGGACGACCGTTAGTCGGATACTAAAGTATCAGCCACCACAACTAGATTTCTCTGCGTCATTACCTATTATATCAAGTTCCTAACGTTTTGTACGTCGAACCTATTTTAGGACCGACTTAGTACAAATACAAGCCTCCACTGTGAAATCACTCCACAACAACTATACAGACATATTTATTCACCCGCTAGATTTTGAGGACTATGTCTTTTGCTGACAACCACGCATTCTGTTTTCTTACAGTTAATTGTTAGTCCTTTTCTTCTTGCTTATCTAATATTATTTCGTCTTTCTTTCCAAACGTAACATAATTTTCGTTTTATCTGCAAAGCCTATGTTTTTTTTTTAAGATTACGTCCTCCAATAATTAATCCTAGTAGGTCTTCTTAGTAACATTTAGTGATACAAGTTAAAACTGTCAGAACCTAATGAAGAAAATGTTTTAAAGGTGTTGAGCTTAGTCAAAAACAAAGCCGCAGTTGTACGGCCGTCTATGAGACTCGAACCCAGTACACGGTGGCTAGGGTCAACTAGACATAATTGTGTCTAGTATTGTGTTATTGTACTTTCTTGAAAAGGGATGTCGATTTTGAAAAATCATTCGAACCAGATAATTAACACTTGGTCCCTTCGTCACAAGAAAATCTTTTGGGCAAATTGCAAAGACCTAATAAAGCACTTGCGCTGACTAAAGTAATGCAACTGAATAGGGGATGTCACTTATTCCTAATCTTCCTTTGTAAACCACTCTTCTTCCATTGCTTTTTTTTGGTTTTTTTTTTTTTTTTTTTTTTTTTGTTGTTTTTCGTCCTTCCTAACGAACAAGTTTGAGTCGATGTCGTGGGATGATGGTACCGACGAGCAGATATCATATCTGCAAAACTCCATGTGAATAAGAGATGCTGATCATTTACTTTTTATTTGTTGCTATATATATATATATATATATATATATATATATATATATATATAGAGAGAGAGAGAGAGAGAGAGAGAGATAGATAGATAGATAGATAGATAGATAGATAGATAAAACAGACTGAGAAAGATAGGTAACTATGAACAGAGATAGATAGATAGATAGATAGATAGATAGATAGATAGATAGAAACAGGCTGAGAAAGATAGGTAACTATGAACATAGATAGATAGATAGATAGATAGATAGAAACAGACTGAGAAAGATAGGTAACTATGAACATAGATAGATAGATAGATAGATAGATAGATAGATAGATACAAACTGCGAAAGATAGGTAACTATGAAGATAGATAGATAGATAGATAGATAGATAGAAACGGACTGAGAAAGATAGGTAACTATGAACATAGATAGATAGATAGATAGATAGATAGATAGATAGATAGAAACTGAGAAAGATAGGTAACTATGAACAGAGATAGATAGATAGATAGATAGATAGATAGATAGATAGATAGATAGATAGATAGATACAAACTGCGAAAGATAGGTAACTATGAAGATAGATAGATAGATAGATAGATAGAAACAGACTGAGAAAGATAGGTAACTATGAACATAGATAGATAGATAGATAGATAGAAACAGACTGAGAAAGATAGGTAACTATGAACATAGATAGATAGATAGATAGATAGATAGATAGATAGATAGATAGATAGAAACAGACTGAGAAAGATAGGTAACTATGAACATAGATAGATAGATAGATAGATAGAAAGAAACAGGCTGAGAAAGATAGGTAACTATGAACAGAGATAGATAGATAGATAGATGTGTGTGTGTAGCTGTTTATCATTTATCTTCCCTGCTTAAGCATCACTTTTTACTTTTTTTGCACATAATTCATTTCTTTAAAGTCGAACAGATTGCAAATGCAATCTGACTGCATTATTTTTCTTGAGGTTTTAAAGAAATTCTGCCTCAATCCATTCTAAATTTAGATAATCATCTTGTTCGTTTTGATATTCAGTATTTGCCTTTTCTTCTTCACTCCCCCCTCATTGGCATCTACTTTTCTTCCTAATCTCCCTCAGTCTCTTTTCTTTTTACTTCTATCTCAGTTACTTCTTTCTTTTCCATTTCTTTCTTTCATTACGTGTTTCTTTGTGTCTGTCACTATTTCGCAATTTCAAGATTTCTCACTTTCTTTCTTTTTCGCCAAGTTCTTCTTTATAGATTATTTCTTACTGTCTTCCTCTTCCTCCGTTTTCTGCTTTGTCTCTTTTTCATTTTTCCTCTTTCTTTCTTTCCCTCTTTCTTTCACACTGTCTTCTTCTCTTTTTTCTTTGTGTCTTTAACCATCTCTCAGTTTCGGGTTTTTTTTTTGTTGTTGTTGTTTTTTGGTTGTTGTTTTTTTTTTCTCATTTTCCTTTTGCCATGTTTCTTTGCGTTTTTTTTTCTTTTTCCCTTTCTTTCTTTCTTTTCTTCTTTTTCTCTATCTTCTTTGTACTTTTCAGAATTTCTCATTTTCTGATTTTTCTTTCTTTTTCATTTTATCCTTTTCCTTGCCTCCTTTCTTTCTGTCTTTCTTTCTTTATTTATTTTAGCTTGATTCTTTTTTCTTTCTTTCTTTCATTCTTTTTCTCTATCTTCGTATCTTTCACACTTTCTCATTTTCATTTTTTCTTTCTTTTTTTTCTTCTTTCTTTATTTCTTTATTTCTTTGACACTGTCTTCTTTCCTTTTCTTTTTTCTATGTTTCACTATTTCTCAGATTCGTGTTTTTCATTTTTTTTCTTTCTTTCTTTCTTTTTTTTTCGTTTTCATTTTCTCCCTTTATTACTTTTTTACTTTTCTTTCTTTCTTTCTTTCTTTCTTTTCATTCATTTTTCTTTCTTTCTTCCATTTTCACTTCCGTTTCCTCTTCCTCTCTCCTCTTCATTGTAGCCTTCTTTCAAATTCTATTTCCCTCCCCCCCTCTCTCTCTCTCTCTCTCTCACTCTTTAAGATTTTCTTTGTCTTTCTTTCTCTTCTTCTCTTTACCCTTCACCATTTTCACTTTTTCAGCATTTCCTTCTTTGTTTCTCTCTCACACTTTTCCTTTCTCTTTTAGGTTATCTACTCATCTGTTTTTCTGTGTATCTTTCGCCATTCTCAAAAATGATATTCTTCCATTTGCGCTTTCGCTCTCTCTCTCTCTCTCTTTTCTCTCTCTCTCTCTCTCTCTTCTCGTTTTCTGTCTTCCTTTTACACACACTTTCTTTCTCTCTCTCTTCTATGTATCGTTCTCATTTTTATCTTTTCTCGTCGTGACCATCTCTCACCCCTCTTTCTTTCACTCTCTCTGTTCTTCTCTGTATTTTTTACTGCTTCTTCTCCTTTCTCATTATCTCTTTCTCTCCCTTTCACTCCTGAACGATCTCTTTTTCCCTCCTCTACGCTTACTCTTGTCGTAGTCAGCCTGTTACTCTTTATAAATAGAAACAAAAAGCTATATTTTTTTCGCAATATTCATTTTTTTTTCTATAATGCCCACTTCTTTACAGGAAATATTTTTTTCAATTTTTATTCTTTTTCTGTTTTTCATTTTTCTTTTATTTTTTGCAGTTTTCCATTTCGTATGGGGGTGGAATCTCATTGATATTTTATGGTCTGAAATAGGAGGGACCCTTTTTTATCATGTCTCCTGTCAGAATGAAAAAAAATGCATCAAGCTCAGAGCTGTCGCCCTCTCTCTCTCTCTCTCTCTCTCTCTCTCTCTCTCTTCTCTCTCTTTTTTCTCTTGGATGATGGCTGTTCCTTCCAAGGTGACACTTGACGTCACTGTATTTGGGTTTAATAATTGGATAGCAGGAAGGTCAGAGAAGGGCAACGGAAATCATTTGTTGAACGGTTTCGTTTCTACTGACGCTGCTACTGCCGCTATTAAATCTCATGTCACGACGCCATTGAGCCTTAAAGATCCACCTTGTCCATCCAACTCTCACGGTCTTGACAGAGCGACGGAACACCCTCCTGTGCCAGATTAATCTGCTAGCGGTCCTGGAGGACAACGTCCCTCTAACGGACCCGTGGTCTGCCGCGAGGTCATCTCCAGTCTGTAGATGGCTGTTCAAACTGATAGATGATTCTATTGGAGTGATCAACAGGTCGTCACAGAACGTGACCGAGCCAGCGAACACGATGCTCAGTTGGCTGGCCCTGCAGCGGAGCTCCTCATTGGACTCAAGATAGAATCAGTGTGAATCCTTTTATTGTGACGATACTCACCAGAGATTTTAAATTCCGATAAGCCACTATCTAGATTCGGAAAACGAAATTTATCTATTCCATTTATTATTTGTGCCATAACACTGAAAGCAATTTTACAAAAAATTCTTCCGACTGCTAGTTAAATTGTAAATTTTCATTTTTAAAATTAAAATGTATTTTTTTCATTTAATAAGCAGACGCTTATAAATCCATATGATGTTATTATTGCGGGTATTTCTTTCATTCTAATTTCAATTACTTTTTATTGCAGTTTCTTCATGCTAGAGTCGTTATTAAGCAATAAGCATTTTTCTATGTGCCTTGTCCCTTCTGGACGGATGCGGTCATGGATCTCCACAGCTTCCTACCATAAAAACTTGTTAGGTAATTAGTCCATTGCCTTTGCCAGTCCCATTTTATTATGACATTTCCTGTGAGTGTCAAATTCTCTATGTTCTCCTTCCCCACAATGTGTTCAAGAAATTTCAATTGTTTTTTTCTAATTTTGAGTATAAGTGTCATTAGGATTTTCCTCAAGTCTTTATTTCTTACCGACTCATTTCATTGTATTCTCATCATCCTTCTGTAGTACTACATTTCTGTTGCCTCGAGTTTTCTCTGCATCGGTGAGGAGATTACCAAGTATTCACGGCCATTGCAAGAGAATTGATATCACATAGTAAGCAATGCGAATCTGAAATACAGAATTAGACTTCTGTGAGAAGCTACGATTTTCCTGTAAGAAACTTGTCATAAGGAGGCAGCTGTCATGTCAGTTAGGTCACGGTGACCTCCGTCAGCAGTCAGTCAGATTTAATAATATTTTTCTTCTTTTATGTGACATATCCATCATGATAATACCTTCAAAACGAAAGTGCTATATTTTACCTATCATAGAAAACCACGGAGAGTGACTCATTGCATATTTTTGGTCTCACGTTTTCTTCTGACATGAAGTTGACTGATTATATCGAATCAGTAGCTAGGTCTACTTCTAGAAAAGTTTGTTCATTGTGTCGTTCCAAACAATCCATCTTTCACATTTATAAATCTACTAATGTATTGAGTATTCTTTTCTTATGCTTTCCTTGCAAAAATGGTTCTCTATGATGATTAAAACACGGCAGTTTAATCCTGAAGGGAAATGACACACTCATTAGAAATTAATCTCTTCCAACATTGTTCCCTATTTAGAGACCTTGTTGTGCCACAGTTCATATAGAATGTAACTGTATATTATTTCATGTTTTCATATACATTAGTTGAGTAGTTACAGACATCGCTTTATTAATTGATTCTTCGAGGTAGCATGATCTGTACTCTGAGAATCCATGATGCTTTCAAATGTTTCACCTATCCGCCAATTCATAGTAGCCTTCACATCACCCCATCATTCCTCGATTGTAGTTAGAAAATTGGCTTTGCAGTTTGTTTTTTTTTAATTTGATGTTCATTTTTTTTTTAATTTGACGGTAAAAATAATGTGCTCTCTTTTAATCATCTGAGAAAGCACGGTTTGGCTTCCATCACTATGGCTGAAGTTAACCTCCGGAAGAGTGACTCTTTGCGCATACTCGGGCTAACGTTTTCCACTGAAATAAAGTAGAACGATTATATTGAATCAATTGATAAGTCTGCTACTAGAAAAGTTGGTTCACTGTGTCGTAATAGACAATTATTCAAGTCAGAATCCATCTAACATATTTATAAGCCTACCATTTATTCATGCATTGAATATTGCAGTCACAGCTGGTTTGATGCATCTGCTATGTATTTATGGATTCTTAAGAAGAATCTGCAATGTTAATGTTCCTGTCCTGACATCTCGGCTTCAGATATTTTCCCAGCGCCGTAATGTAGCTTCCCTGAGCCTTTTCTATAAATATTTTCATGGTAATTGTTCTGATGAACTGTTCCCTATGGTACCTAGACTTTATGAATTTAATCCCAGTACCAGACTGGCGGTAAGGTCTCATCATTTTTTAGTTGAAATGGCTAGATTTAACCGTAAGTTCTGTGCAAAGTTTTCTTCATTCGCACTTCCCGCTTTTAGAACTCTCTTCTGTCGAAGCATTGACTAATTCTGCCATATCTGGCCTGGTGCTTCTCCTATGTATTTAGTGATTCTTGATAAAATCCAGAGAAGAATCTGCAATGTTATTGGTCTCGACCTGACATCTCGGCTTCAGACACTTTCCCACCGCCTTAACGTGGCTTCCCTGTGCTTTTTCTATAAATACCTTTATGGTAATTGTTCTGATGAACTGTTCTTTATGGTACCTAGACTTTATGAATTTAATCTCAGTACTTGACTGGCGGTTAGGTCTCATCATTTTTCAGATGAAATAGCTAGATTTAACCGTTAGTTCTATGCTAAGAGTTTCTTCTCTCGCACTCTTGCGGAACTCTCTTCAGGCTTTTTGTTTTCCAGCCACATTTGAACTTCAAAGATTTAAAAGCAATGTCATTTTTTATCTTCTGTTTCCTAAATCCTTGTTCTTTTATTGCTCTCTCTCTCTCTCTCTCTCTCTCTCTCTCTCTCTCTCTCTCTCTCATTAATAGTATATATTCTTTTTCTCATGTCCCTTTACATTGAGTAATCCC